AATATTTTGATCATTCGGGAACCGGAAATCATTAGATTGCTTGAAAACTGTTTTGATCCATTAGCTGTGGTACATCCAACCACGGAACACCTCATTTTGTTGTAAAGTAATTCACAAATTCCAAAAAAGCACCAAAATCTACACTGACAGATAATTATATTTAATTTGAAATTCCCCGCGTGACGTCATAACTCCTCCTACATGCGCAATATCATATATTTTATTGTATCATGCGATATACCATGTAAGCAAACATTCCAAAGGTGACTCGACAGCAACTCATTTTTTATCGCATAGTACAAGATTTTTGTAATTCAGACAAAGACAAGGCAAGCTGCTCAAAATTTAAAAAATGGAAATATGGAGACGAAATCTTCTTACAACCGTTTATGAAAGATAATGACAGTGACATCACTGGATATATCCAGTAGATGGATATATCCAGTGATGAGACCGATGATGATTCCACAAAAGCTCGAGTGGCGGAAAATGCTTCCGAAGCACATGATACGAAAGTAACAGTTGCCAAGGGGAAAGACCCACCAGTATCAATTGTAGTAAACTTGCCGCAAAGACGAGCACCAGCAAAAAAGAAGAAATAAATTCACCCTCCGTCTAAAATATAAGCAATAGGTGGTAAAATGGTAAATCATCAAATGTAATTTTTCCGAAAATTTTTTAGGCGTTGCTTGACTGACTGGCCGCTGGTGTGAACACGACCATATAAATTACTTGCCCGTAATGGGACTGGGAGCGTGATCTGACCGTAGCAAATGTGAATCGGCCGCTTCGGATGCGCACGACGCCGGTAATTGGACGCTCATTGGCTCATTTAATTTTATTCCGTAGCGCGCACTCAGACTGAGGCCGCATCATTTTCCGGGATCATTTTTTTATTATTAATCAGGTTAACTCAGTTCATTTTTCATCAACAGAAATTTAATTTGAAGGTTAATCTACGGGGAAACAGGATAGATTGACTGGACTAAGAGGATAGCGCATTTTTCATATGTAGCTTGCTCCCATCTATTATGCGGTAGCGCTTTTTGTTCCGTTCTCAACAAAATTGCCAAAAAATGAACCAAGACGGAAATGGCACAAAAGCGCGCTTTACCAACTTATACTAAAATGAAGAACAGAAGGACAACAGAAAATCTAATTTTATTTCTGTGCATGCAGTGTTTTGCAGTTTCCCAGACGAAATGGGTGCATAATTGAAAACTTTGCCCGAATTTGCTGTCCTATGGTGGATCTATATCTATGAAACGAGACATCAACGAGCTTTCGCGAATATGCTTCTACCCCATTCACAGGGGCGAATTTTACGTTTGCAGAAATGCCCTAAAAATATATCACACTTTCACTTGCATGGGCCTTGCCAATGGGAATCATTTAGGTATTTACCTATTGCTCAACGAATTTTGACACTTCCTTAAACGAATCGATACATAAATGACGATTTTTGCTTACCCTAGGTAAACTTTGAATTTTTGGTGTACACTTCTCTGAATTAATTTGAATTAACGTGAATTAATTTATAATTAACTACAATTAACGAGAATTCATGTGAATTAATTCGAATTAACGTGCAATAATTTGAATTAATGAGGAATAATTTGAATTAACGTGAAATAATTTGAATTCACGTGAATTAATTTGAATTAACATGAATTATATATAATTAATTTGAATTTATTTGCACTTATCTATCACTTCCAAGAAAGACTAACTTTCGTAATTATGAGCCGATTTTGACCAAACTGTACGGGCTGGTGTAAGTCATAAATATCTCGGTCCTATATGTTAAAATGCTGTAACTTTTCCTAATTGTAACCAATTATGACTAAACTTTATATCTTGGGGGGGGGGGGGCCCTATCGAATGACATGCAGTACGTATGTTTAGTTTAGGATGCGCGGAAGTCTACCTTTAAAGTAATTAAAGTAAATTAATTCGAATTAAAGTGAATTTACTTCATTTAAAGTGAATTAATTTGAATTAATGTGAATTAATTTGAATTAACGTGGACTCTTTTGAAGTAAGGAGAATTAATTTGAATGAATGTGAATTAATTTCAATTATCGTGAATTAATTTGAATTTACGTGAATTAATTTGAATGTAAATGTTAGTGTACACCAAAAATTGTACTTGTTCCCCATTATGCATTACATGTCAAAAATTTAAGAGCGTTACTGCGTTAGTAAAACCTTTTTCGATATTAGCGTAGACGAATTAAACAACACCTCGAGCAGACGAAAAATAGAAATGTTCTTAAATGTGAAAGGAATTGTTAGTTTGTATGGTTTTATAGACTAGAAACGAAGTTTTTTTCGTTCGCAGATAGACAGACATACAACGAAAAATTGCGGATATAAACGCGTGAGTCTAGTGACAAAATATCGAAGGATTTCTCAGTATTACCATCACTCTTTTAACGCGGCTATATTTATGTTAACGTTGCAAAATGCATTACAGTCAACAAAAATGCATCAAATTCATGTCTTGCGGTCATTGAGATAATGCTCTTGGTCTTTTTTCCAACGATGTTGGTGCATATAACGATATTGGCTTGTTTTGATCAAAATACATATGGCTCCAAAACTCAAAATTTAAGTGTAAAGAATAATATTGGGTAAATTTGGTCTTAACCTAGACCACAGAGTAGAGTTATATTGAATTTTTACACATCTAAGAGTCATAGGGAATAATCTAGCGACAATCCGAACTCGATACATGACCTGGAGAATGAAATATGTTGATTTTTTTTTATTGAGCTTACAGTTTTTGCTGTTTCCAATTCACTCAAAGTCCTGAACGTATACTTTTCTTCCTGTGGGAGTCAGCTTTCTGAATTAATTCCTACCTTACTGTCCATAGTACCCGTACGCCAAATTTCAACACGATCGGTCACTATTAAAGGATTTGTAGAGCACACGGACGGGCTGACGGACGGACGGACAGCAATATAAAATTATAAAGGAGATGAGGATCCTTAATAAATCGACATCGCATGAAACAAGAACTATATTTCACATTGTGATTAATATTTAAAAGCTAATATGCGATATGCGCGTATCTATACACGGTGTCCATTTTTCGAGTACCACTATGGGGATCTCGCTTATCTTAAGAGATAGAAATTTGGCACTCTTCGCAGAGAATGAAAATTGTATTTTTAGGAAAAATGTGATACTGAACCACCGCATGTGTGATATATCGTTGTAAAGAGAAAACGAGACGTAATCTCAAAATGTCAAAATTCAAAATGGCGCCCTTAAGAAAAACTAAAGGTGCAAGGCGTTCTCCGTCATCTTAAAAGTTATTAAAAACGGGATATGCCATACTCGAAACCTCCATTGAAAAGTCTGAATTATGTGTTACTTAGAAATGTTTATAGTGGGTACTATTATAGTTTATCATGATTCATGAACAAATTAAAAACGAAAATTAGAAAGTTATTCGATATTTTCAAAACTATTGATGATATTTTATCTCTTTTCAGATTGTTATTCATCACGGAAATTCGCAACTTTGCCCCCATTTAACCAAATTTCTATCTCTTAAGATAAGCGAAATGCCCATAGTGGCACTCGAAAACTGAATACCGTGTATATCAAGCTATACAACTTAAGAAAAAAGTTGAAGGATTTATGATAACACTTTTAGTCTATAGTGCAATTATTCTGCATTTATAAAAACGATCGACTTCGATATTTCATGCCATACCAACTTTGATCTAAAAGTCTGATCCCAGCGATAGAATGAATATTTATGTATCGCCGAAGAAAGTTTATTGAAACTAGCCTTCAAAAGAATTGCTCGAATCTTCACACAACCCGTTTTGTTCTGAAAAATAAAATAAATCCCAAACTGAAGGTGGCCGTCGTTCTAAAATGAATGCTCTCAGGTGTTTCCACAGGTCTCACGAAATGAAACGGGAAATGGCTATTTAGCGGAAATAAATCACTTTTCGTATATTGGGGTAGATATTACAAAATTGACGAATGGTGTGACCGATGAACCGCAACTAAAATATGCGACCGTTTCATAAAAAAGTTTAAAAGAGAAATTTAGTTGTACCGCCACCCTGAAAGGCGTTTTATTCTTTTTCACAGGAAGTAGCCCAAAGGGTGCGTTTACTATATTGCAGTATGCAATGTGTAATAATCTACCGACGCACGTGACCGTCACGTGGCCACGACCCGGCGCAATATTCGGCTCCTTTCAGCTTCATCTAAAAACCTTATTACGTTATCCTAAAACTTCGATCAGTAATAAAATATAAAGAGGGTGTGCTTCTAACTCTAATCGGTTTTAATATCGTCGCCTTCGCATAATCCACATTATAGATCATTTGTCGAAATTTTGAATTAGTAAACGATTGCGCATTTCAAATCTCCCCTGGTAAAACGTTGAGTTTGAAAAGGGCATATGCTTCAAAGTGTAGATGGATTACATCTTTAGTTTTTAGTATTAAAACTAAACAAAAGTCTTGATGGGACCTGAGTATGAGTACCAATTCATTAAAAGTCGATGTCGATGCCGTCAATGGTTGCAGGTCACATAAAGCACGGCAGGGAGCGCTCTATTGGCACTCTATTCATAACGACCCCATGATACCCATTATGACTTTTTTCTTCGATCTTTTGTATTTTCTCTAAAAAGAATGCTTGCACCGAGTCGACGACTTCGAAATGCATTTGGCAGGGCATTTCAATATAAAATCGGTTCTTATTAATCTTCCGTACGTTTATTTTCTATTTCTCTTCGACGCATTTCTAAAACGCGTACGACTATAGTGGTAAATCCGGAACGGTGTTTCCCATGTAACGTGGTCTAACCAATTTGTCAACAGTCCACTTAGAGAGATTGACAGATGAAGAAAACAATCCGCAGTCAAACAATTACGAGACTAGCACAATGTACGCAATGGTTTAACGATATAAGCATTACCCACGTTTGTTACAATTAGCACTTACGTCTCGCTCTCTTTGTTTAGGTATCGTCAATAAACAGGGTGCTACGTAACTTAGCTGCACAAAAGGAACAGTCCGCGCAACAGCAACCTCCCGTAGCGTCCACCGCGGATATCGTTTACGACAAACTTAGAATGTTGAATGGTAGCCAGGGAAGCTGGAGATCGACGCCCTGGTATCCATCGGGAAGCAATCCGTTTCCACTCCAACCGCTCAGTCCGCCATCCACAATACTCTCGGATGACCTTAACTGCAAGAAAGGTAGGTGCATTTTTCGTTTAGAAATAAACACGTTCAAATTTTTGTTGAATTATATATGAATCCACGACGCTTGAGACACGAGCCGCACTCAAGGATCCTAAATAGGGAAACAGTGAAACAAGGAAAATGCACTATTGTCATTCGCTTGAATGCAGATATATACCTCATTTTCCAAATCTGGCTTAACAATAAAGGAAAAATCAATTTGATATGAGACCATACGTTTAAATTGCACAGCCCTCTAAAAAATCAATATTAACTTCATTGAAAAATCTAATTCCAAAATTGAACTAAACTTACTACATGGCCCTTTTCTATTAATAATCTAACAATTCCCACTAAAAATTAAAAATTACGTAATATCTATTTTTTACAGTCAACTGGCAATCTTAAACTGTATATTGCTGTGTGCAACGGCAAACGGTCACTAGTTTAATTTAATAAAGTGGCTCACAAAAGCAAATAACATGAAACTGTTAAAATCTAAGATCGTAGTTTGGGCTCAAACTGTTCATTTACACATTGCTTAAATTTACTGGATAATTTCTGGAATAAAAAAATTAACACTCAGGGCCAGAGACAAATACCACGCTACAAGCGCTCAATCGAAGCAGATCAAATAAAGACCTAATTACCTTGTAATGTCAATAATCCAAATATCCAGTCTACTGAGATTTCCAACAGAAGCGTACAAAGAAAAAACACTAAACTGAAGTCGCCTCAGAAACTCCTGTTCTTAATGACAACACTTTTTATCCGAATACGTGACACAAAACTTCTCTTTAACTCGAATTCGCAATTCAATTTAACACGACGTACTTAAAATCTCTTAAGTCACTAACCAATGTTCTTCAATACACAAACTGACGCTCTTTAGTGCATCCGAAAACCGAGAAGCCGGGAGCACTGCTCCAATAAATGGGTCCGACTCCATCTAAAGGCCAAACCACGGCGGGGCCAAAATGCTATGAGCAAACAGCGAACGGCGAAAGGCAAAAAGGCCATCTACAGCACTTTCTCTTCTCTTTAACATATTTCTCTCTCTTGTCCCATCTTCGATTGCACTTTATACATTAGTTAAAATGCGCAACATTCTCGTATCTAAAGCGTACATCTGTAACAACATCTGTCTACAAAACTAAACGATAACCGCAACTCGTATCTCCCACTGGAGAAACACATGAGATAAACTTTTCTAATATTACGCAAATAATGTTCTTTATCTTATAACACGTAATTTCTTTACAATGAGATAAACAAATTACAATGCGGCTATAAAAAAATAACCATCGTGTAAACTACGTAAATTAACACAGCAATAAGTATATCTCATTGCCCGTTTGCACCGACAAATTTAAGTGGAGCTTAGCTTAAGCGTCCCTTAAAATCCATGCCAACGATTATTGAGACAATGGTTGTCATGGATTTTAAGGGACGCTTAAGCTAAGCTCCACTTAAATTTGTCGGTGGAAACGGGCATAGAGACTTGAGTAGTGAATTCCAATAGAAAAATCTTCCCTTCTTCTAAGAGGGGCATACAAGAATATTTTATACAGCGAAAAATTCATTTTCAATGTTTCGAACCGGTTAGAAACGACTAGACCGAGTCTTTATACATATAATGTTTTTATTTACTGTTTAGTGTCTATTTGGCACGGATTCGTGTAACATCCATTAAAACACCCTTTGGGCTTCGACACGAATTTTATCATAACCCTTATCTTCTCGATAGGGACTTGTCCGTGACTTAAATAATTTCTTTCACCGTGCTCTCGATACTCGATCTAACGCATACCTAATCTTTTCTTATCGCCCTAACAACGTTCTTATGACTTAATCTTGAATGCCTCTTTATGTTTATTCCCTACGATTCCCAATTTTACAACTACGCCTGAAAGATAGCTAGTAATTGCGGCCATCTTTCAGGTGGGATTAGACCAAGCAAACATTGTTGTGCAACAGTCGAAAAACACACAAGTTTACACAGTGAGTACGTGTTGCGCAACACATACTTACTGTGTAAACTTGTGTGTTTTTCGACTGTTGCACAGCAATGTTTGCTTGGTCTATTCCCACCTTTATCCGTTCTAACAATAAACTCGGCTCAAAATTATGGATGTCCAGCTTGGCTCGAAAAAAATAAGTTCAACTCGACTCGGGAGCCAAACTAAGCTCTGATTCAAAACTATGGATTTGGCCGTTGCGCCGCACTCTTATGATACAAGGCATGATTTTTGAGTAAGGGCGGTTTTGAAAATTCTCATCCGCAAAGTTACGGATGGTGTCTCGCGCATGCGTATCGCATTTCTATAGCTGTTGGTAAGTAAATAAATAAAAAATCTAGTAATATCTAGTGGCCCTAATGAAGAAGATGAAAAACGGATAAGCGAATACGAGTATAAATTGTACACAACTCTTGTGCAGATAAAGCGCCTTTTTTGAACCGAAATAACTTAGTAAATGGTTGCGCTATAAGATGGTAGCATGCTATACTTATTTATTTATTTATTTATTTATTTATTTATTTATTTATTTATTTATTTATTTATTTATTTATTTATTTATTTATTTATTTATTTATTTATTTATTTTTTTATTTATTTATTTATTTATTTATTTATTTATTTATTTATTTATTTATTTATTTATTTATTTATTTATTTATTTATTTATTTATTTATTTATTTATTTATTGATTATCCCTCTCTGGGCCCTCAACAGGCCTGCGCCCAATCTATTAACGAATATAAGATATATTCCATACTTTTGACTAACCCTGTATATAATATTTTTAATTTTATGAGTTTAATGGTTCTCTAAATATTACAAACATTACAACAACAATGTATCGATGTTAACCTTCATTGTAGATGATTAATGTGGAGGGGGCTCTTTACACATAAATATTTACAGGTTCCCTGGCATACATTCAAAATCTACGCTATATAATGCAACAAGAATCAAGCCCTTAAACCTTCCTCCAACATTTTCGAGATATTATCAATTAAGTTTTTACATCGCCGATAGATGTGTCTCGTCTAGACGTTCTTTCTGCCATTTGAGAGTCCCTCCTCCGACACTCCTTTCTGCAGATATTTGCACGGAAAGTTTTGACATCACCAATAGATATGTCTCGTTCTGACATTCCACTTGCCTTTTATGAGCACCCTCTTACGACACTTCGTTTTCAAGATATTTGCTTCGACTTCACCAATAGATATGTCTCGTCCAGACAGTTGATTTTGCATTTGTGGGTACTTTCCTCCGACAAACCGCTTTCGAAATATTCGCTCTTAAAGTTTTGACATCGCCAATAGATATATCCCTTTCAGGCATCCCAATCGCCCTTTGTGAGTACCCTCCTCCGACAATCTGTTCTTGAGATATAAGCGATCACGATAAAGGGCCGAGGAGGAGGACTATGGTTTGTAGATATTAAGTCCTCTCGCTAAGACCTTTCATTAGAGTATCATGACGGATAAAATCAGTCCCCCCTCTCAACCCCTCTTTTGATGAGATGAGAAAACAGTTTCTTTTGTTGAGACCTTTAAGTAGCATACCATGAAAGATAAAATTAAAGGGTAGAACATGTGTTAACTCCCCCCCCCCCCCCACCCATTTTCATAAATTTACTTGGCAGACGGACGGACAAAACGCCCTCTCTACACTCTCTGCTCTAATCGAAGGCTGAGATTACGGAATACTTTCCTCCGTAATGCTGGTGTAACCACTGCCATTTCGCCACGATCACGGATATTCTCCCTGAGCGGAGTAATGGTTCTCAAATTGTTACTGTACACTTTGTGCGTTAGAGGTATCTCCACAATAAAAGTCAGGAGACTCTGGGCTGCAAGAAGGTCATGGAATCTCACCTCTTTTCGAAATCAGTCTGACTCGGAACATCTGTTTCACAATAACTATGGAATCACTTGACGTGTGACTGGTAGCTCCGTCTAATTGAAGCCAAAAGACCTTCTAACAGCGCAACATAGCGTTCGGTGTTACCACTGACATTTTACCCCTGTGCATTTTCAAAGAAAAATTCATTCATCTGTGTGAGACCGCTGCCCATACCGTCACTTTAGGACTATGCATTAGTTTCTGCCGGTACAGTTTGGGATTTTCACTGTTTCAGTAGGTGCAATTTTCACGGGTTACATTACATTGATAGTATGGAAATGGGCCTAATCAAAGAAAAGGATTGCCGAAATTGAAAAAGCGATTAAGTAGGTATTCATCAGAAAATTCCGGCCTTCCTCCGAAATCACGCACTTTCAATTATTGTGTTAGTTGCAGCTTGTATGGATGCAGTTTAAGATTTGTTGCAAACTTCGTGGCGATAAATGTAGTCGTGGATCTTCTCGTACTGACTGCATAACTCTCTCAATATTGTCTGCGATCCTAGTTGTTATTGCACGACGTTTAGCTTGTGGTTTAAACGTTGAACCAGTGTCTTGAAAACGCTTTCTCAATAACTTTAATTAAATTTGCCATGGTCCACATTCAGTGCAATATAATCATGTACTAAAAATGTATAAACCAACGTTCTTGCAAAATGTGCGTACGCAGCATCCCGTCGAAGCGACTCATGAGTCATGGTGACACCGACACTTAGTTTTCGGGATATTCATTTTGACCTCACCAATAGACAAAAGACACTAAGGCTCTAAATTCTCAAAATAGTCCCTTGTTTGCTTCAACACAATATGGACAGTATGTCTTGTTGCATTTCGGATTTGTTGAAGTGAAATTCGTGCAATAAACGCCAAACGTTCGTGCCCAGCATCAAAAGTTCGTTGTCGAGTTGCCGATGGTGAGTGTACGTCATGTTTAATTGTACTGTGTAACATGGCTGGTATTATGTGATGGTGCACCATCTTGCTATAAAAAAAACATGTTGCCCAAAATGAATGGTCAATATCTGGTTATTTTGGTATCGTTTTCCCATGGAAAAATGATTTTTCCATGCAGTGTTAAAATGAATTGTCAATATCTGGTTGTTTTGGTATCGTTTTCCCATGGAAAAATGATTTTTCCATGCAGAAAGATTCAAATATTTCTACATTCATCAGGATTGATTTTCAAAGGAGTTAACCAAATATCTTTCTGAGATTTCTAAGATTCGAGTAGTAAGTGTTTTTTATAGTCAGAGCTGGGCAGTATTCGATTTTGTAAATACTTTGTAATTAAATATGGAGGCAGTATTTGTATTTGTAACTCAAATACTTTCACAAATATTTAGTATTCGAATACTTTGCAAGGTATTTGAATACTTTGCGAAGTATTCGAATACTTCGCATAGTATTTGAATACTTTTAAGTTATTCAAATATTTGAGAACTATTTAGAAATGTTTAGAGGAAGTTTCCATTATCACAAAATAAAATGTAAAAATCCGATACAACTGAATACCGAACGATCCTGGAGTGAAACTTTTTGACCCGATAGTCTACGTAACTTAAAAATAATAAGGGACCTTTGTTATGTCCTTAAGACCATGTGTACCAATTTTCAAAGCGATCGCACGTTTCTAAACAAGTTATCATGTACACCGACAGACGGACAGGCAAAAAAGGATCTGTTTCAAAATCGCTAGAATTAATTTCAGAAAGGTGTACGTGTCATGTGCTGTGCACGACGTACGATCGCTTTGAAAACTAGTACACGTATTCTTAAGGATATAACTGATATAAGAAAGGTCCTGGTACCTCCTATATAATAATATAATAATAATAATACGCTTTTACTCCCCTTAAATTTCCATATAACAATAGAAATATTTAAAAAAGTTAACCTCAGGGAAAGGGACTACATTCAGCGCACAAAACGCTGTTCTTCCATATAGCCCCCATAAAAAGTATAACTTGACATTAACACTTTTATATAGTACTATTTTAAATTTTTAATCTATTTGAGTGA